GAACTCAAAGTTGGGGCCCTGCAGTTTGGGGCATAGGTGCAGCCTGGTCAGATTCCTCCCAGAAGCCCCCTGCCCTAACTGCTCCACCAGGCCCACTCACCTCAACAATGGCATCCACAGGGCAGGCCTCCTGGCAGAACCCACAGTAGATGCACTTGGTCATGTCAATGTCGTAACGGGTGGTCCGGCGGCTGCCATCGGCCCTGGGCTCAGCCTCAATGGTGATGGCCTGTGTGAGGGAGTGGCCACCAGTCACTGGCACACTGCCAGCCATGTCCTGGCCCTGGATCAACCCCTCAGTTCATCCCTACCCCTGGTATCTGCATGGACACTCCATCATCATCAAGACTGTCTGGGGACCACCCTCACATCTGCCTTCTCACACTGACACTTGTCCCAGCTGACACTCTTCTTGCTCCCATGTTAACTGTCCAATCTCTTGCCCTAGAACACTACTCCCACAAGGGGAAGGCTGATACCCGCTTTGTTCACTGGATAGCCACAGCCATGGGGAGGGGCCATCTCATCTGTAGTAAGTGCCCAGTGATTGTCTAGGGCCAACAAGACTCTAATTCAGGTCTAGTTAAACTCATCTGATGGATGAGAAAACTGAGGCTCAGAGGCTGAAGGGCTTCTTGAAGCCACACAGACAATGAGGCATGGAGCCCACACTTGAAAAGAGCCTTAACGTTCCAGGATCAGCCTTGTGGCTGCTAGGGAAAGAAGAGGTGGCCTGGTGCCTCCCACAGCTTGGAGGACCTTCAAGTACACTTAACTCTCACCCCACTTAGGTGTGTCATACTCACTGAGCACTGTGGGACCTTTGCCTGGCAGCCTCATCTTTTTGTGCCTATAGAAATGGAGACATGATCTCTACCTGCTGGCGTTGTTATAAAGATTAAATGTGATAATAAATGAGCTTGGCACAGGGCCTGGCCTGACCTTCACCACCTGGAAACCATGATTTTCACCACTGCTGCCGTCAAGGGGTCTCCTAGGTGCTCCCAAACACTGGCTGGAGGACAAATGTCAAGGCCACAGCCTGTGGCCTGGAGGACCTGGGAGAGGTCTAGGAGCTGCCCTGAACCATGGAAACAGAAAGGGGTTGCTGTGCAGACCATGCCTGCTAGGGCTCCTGGCATGCATGCCAGTTGTGGACAAGGGCCTCAGCTGCATCTGTTCCTGCATCAGAGGCCCTGACTCCAGGTAGTCTGTGCAAGATCCACCGACACAACCAATCACAGCCACACTACCAGCTATGTCCCGGCAGGGTTCCGATGACCAGCTACCAAAGATGGGGTGGGAGAGGGGGCAGGGGCTGGAGGGCTTCGGCTGTGAGTCCTCAGGGCCAGTCTAAGGATGGGCTCCTGAAACTACAGCCACATTCAGGGAAGAGGACACCTTGGGTGCCATCCCATGACTCCTGGACCCAAGTTTCCTACCCTCAGCCAATTCCCAGGGCAGGCCCCACATGTGCCACCTGGCCTGTTCAGGCAGATGCTGGCCTATGCTGACTTGCTGACTCACAATACTTGGGCAAAAAGATCTCACTGGTTCCACTCATGGGGTGAAGGGAGGGGGCTCAAAGCAGAAAAGGGAATTTTCTGGGGAAATACTTTAAACAGAGGGGTCAGGTTGTGGCCTAGCACTTCATGGGCTCCCTTGCCCAGGGGCGGGGCAATGTGATAGCCACAGGGTCCAGGGCTCACCTGGGCAGGGCACACAGCCTCACAAAGCTTGCAGGCGATGCAGCGCTCCTCCCCAGATGGGTAACGGCGCAGTGCGTGCTCCCCACGGAAGCGTGGGCTTAGTGGGCCCTTCTCAAACGGGTAGTTGATGGTGGCTGGCTCCCGGAACAGGTAGCTCAGGGTCATGCCCAGGCCTGTAGGCAGCAAGTCATGGTGAGTGGGCCACTCTCCTCCCCAGCACATCCGTACCTGACCCCTGCTCCAAACCTGCCCACCTCCACCAAGACCCACCTCGGATGAGCTCAGTCCACAACAGGGTCTGAGCTGCCCGGTCAGTCACTGACTTCACGTCCATTGTGGGTTCCCGCTTATTCACGTACTCTGCAGGGAGACCATGGAGGAAGTTAAGGAATCCAGCTCAGGAGATGAGGCCTGGCCCTCACATCTAGGTGCAACCACTGGGTTCATTCCCCTAGCACCAGCCAGAGCCCTGGGAGGTGGCCTCTAGACCTAAGCAGGAGGCCCTGCTTGCTTCTCTCTGGTCCCAGGCAGCTTTCTGAGCTGAGACCCTCAAACAAGGGTTGAGTCAAAGGATAAGGGGCTTGTCCTTTCCCTTCACCAAGGGTTCTGGTGAAATGGCACAGGCTCCCTCTCCATCATACTCAGAGGCATGCTGAGACCCACTTCCTCAAGGGAGAGGTCTGCCCCAAGAATCACATTCAATCTCCATCGTCCTCATTTTCAGAGTAGAAACAGGCTCAGAGAGGAGCCCCTGGCAAAGTCAGAACTGAGACCCAAGTCTCCTCCCTGAGCTCCAGTAAGACCATGCTCAGGAAAGCCCATACTGGAGACCACCTAGATACTCACTGTAGGTCGCTACCACGGCACTACTATGGAGGCTCCGGCCACTAGCAGCATGACCTGCAAGGAGAGACATGATGCTTCTGTAGGTGGGATCTCACACTAGGAGACTGGGCTCCCCCATCCCAGGATAGGCCCCCTTGGTCCTACCTGTGCGCACAGCCTGGGTCAGGGCCCGCAGCAGTGTGGGCATGCTCAGGCATTGCATCTGGGGCATAAGGAAGAAAGAGGGGTCAAGGACTGCCTACCCCAGGAATTCTGGTACTGTGGGTGCCCTGAGCTTCACCTGGGGCCTCTGTGTCATCTCTAGCACGACTCATACCCTGTTCCTGGGCCTTCCATTCCCAGGCATAGAACCTCCCAGCCCTCCAAACCATCCCAGCTCAGCAGGCATAAGATTCCAGGAGTTCCCGTGGACCCCAATTTCCTTCTCTCTCACTTCCTAAAAAGCCTGTTAAGCCCACTGCTTCTCCCCAGAGCTCCCGTCTCTCATCTCTCCCCTGCCCACCATATTCTCACCTTAAAAACACAACAAACCACTACCACTGGTGTCTACCGAGAGCTCATTAATGGCAGGCTCTGTGTGAGGGTGGACCACATGCACTGTTATCTTGTCTGGTTAAGAGACTGGCCAAAGTCACACAATAGGATTGGGCCCAGAACTGGAACCCATTCCAGCCCTGGTGGAACCATTAAAGATTTAAATAATTCTTCAGCGTCCAATTCCTTTCCCCACCGCAAGGCTCTCCTAGAACTGTCCCCAGCCTGCTGAGTGACCTTCAGCCGGTGAGGTCGCCTGGCCTCAGGCTTCACATTTGCAAGACGGGGGTGTGTGTCATGAGACTTGGGGGGTCGTACACTCCAAGGGCAAGAGGCTAGCCCAGGACCTGGCACCTCGCCAGAGCCCGAAAAGGCCCCTCCTGTGACCTCTGGTGGACCCTACTCTTGAACACTGACGAGGGCCCAGCACCCAAACCAACCACTGCCACCACCTTCTCCGACATTCCCCATGACCTCTGACCCCACAGACGCAAGAGTCCCGCCGTCGGCTGCGCTTGCGCCAAGAGGGGGAGCCCGCTACACGCTGAAGGACGGAGGCCGTGAGTCTTAAAACGGCCGATAAAGAGCCTGAGCAGAGCTTGCGGGACTAACAAGGGCACCACACTTGCCCTCAACGCCGTGCTGCCCAGGCATGACCTTCAGGACCGAGCCCTGAACACCCACCTTGAGGAGCTGCCGCCCCTTCCCTAGCCGAGAGGGCTGGACAGCCGAGAGGAGGAGCCTAAATCTGTGACACTACTATTGGGTTGGCTGGCTTCGCCTTTTCCGTGGCGATCCTTCATGCTGCGGCCTGATTGGCCGGTGGGCCCACCTGAAGAAGGCGGAATTCAGATATAAATATTTTCTCTGATTGGCTGAGAGAGAGTAAGCGCCTCAAGCTTTGGAGGGCGCCGCCATATTGGTTCACAGAGGCCAATCCGGGAGGACCTCTGAGCCGCTGGAGGCGGGACTTCCGGGGGATGTCTTTGGCAGTGGTTCCGGAGTGCAGAGGACCCGATTGGCTCTGTGAGATCAGTATCAGGACCGCGAAGAGAATAAGGATGTAGCTAGCGGGTGTCCGCGCAAAGTCGGCCCTACTGACTTCATCTAGTCCTCACAGTAGCCCCATGTGGGAGAGTCATAGCCGGCCAGTCGCGCGGTGCGACCCACTGGTCTGGCCCTGGATCCGAATGGCTCGGGAGCCCCTTTACTCCACCCGCCTATTCCCTCCTGTGTTTGTGGTAGAGGAACCCACGGGGGCTGCGGGCTCTGAGACACCCCTGAGTTAGTCTGCGTGTGTTGTTGGGGGGTGGTGATCAGGAAAGGTTTCCTGGAGGAGGCGCTGACTTGGGTGACGGTGAGTAGGATTTGAGCAGGTCAGGAAGGATGAAAAGGTCATGTGCAGATGTGTAGAGATTCTCTGGACAAGAACAGACTGAGTGGGGCGTGATGCTTGTCCTTAGAGAGATGGACAGAGCCTCCCAAGGACGTGTGGCTTCGGGACCTGTGGGTCAAGGGAGGGGTCTCGGGCAGAGGAGTGGGATGGTTCAGCTTGCTTTGGGAAGATCAGTGTGCACTGGGGAGAGGGTCCGGGCATAGGGGAGAAGGGAGGTAATGGGTGGTGGCCTGCACCAGGCCTGGCCGGGCATCGTGATTCAAGTATGAATTGGAGCATTTCTGGGCATAACAGAATCAGCAGGATTTGCCCAGAGATGGAACTTGGGTGTCAAGCAGGGGGCCGAGGATTTTGGCTTTGGTGGCTGAGACAGTGAGAGCCCCGAGGATAGGCGGAATGGGGCAGAGGAGTAGTCCCTCCTGGGACCTCCTGATGGTGAGGTGTGTGGAGGGGCCCACCTGGCGGGAGAGAAGAAGGAGGCACACTCCTGGGAGAAGAGATGGGGCATCCGGAGCTTGGTGTCTGCACCTCCCTAATTTAATCCTCATACAATCTCAGAAGGCATCAGTTGTTCATCACCTCAGGTTCTAGTGTACACCTGAGGAAACAGGCTTATAGAAGACAGGGATGGCACAGTCACACAGGTTCCAAGGTGTGACAGATGCCAGGGCTCCTCTGCTGCACCTCTTCTCCTAGGACCTGGGTGGCTGGTGCAGGAGGAAGGGAACAGGTCACTGTCACTGCACACCTGTCTCATGTTCCCACTCAGCTTATCCTAGTGGGGGGGAGGGCAGCTGAAGGCCCAAAAAGGGAATCTCCAGAGGGAAGAAGGCGGCATTGCTCTGTTCTGAGGAGATGCTCTGTAGCCTATCAAGTGTCCTTGTGCTTTGGATCCTAGGCCACATCTGCAGCAGCTGGCGGGGAGTGGGGTTGGGCACCTGGTGGCCACAGGCTCAAAGCAGTGTGCAGCTGCAGCTGCGTTCCTCCATGGCCATCAGCAGCACCCTCAGGTTTCTCGATGAGTAGGGGGGGTAACGGAGGTCGTTGATCTTCTCCATCCCTGGGCTGCGCAGCAGGCAGGCTCGGTGGTGGGAGAAGGTGTCAAAGGAGAACTTGCCATGGTAACTGCCCATTCCACTGGCACCTGTATGTAGCAGAGCACACACGTCAGGCCCTCAGTGGCCAGCAAAGGGGATGTCAAGCAGACCTGGCTCTGACAGGAGGGCTGTGTCACCCCTGTGAGCCTCAGTTTCCTCATCTGTATAGTGACCTAATTATGAAGCATTGTGTATAAAGGGCCAGGCCCCAGGGCAGGCTTTAGCACCAGCTCAGTAAGCTCTGGGGATACCAGGTGTCAGGGCAAGATAGGCAGGTGTTGGTTAGTGGTGTGTTTTCTGGAGCCAGACTGGCCAGGGTTGGATGAGGGCTCTGCCATGAATAGCTTTTTTTTTTTTTTTGGTACCAGGGATCGAACTCAGGACCTTGCGCTTTCGAGGTAGGCGCCGGAACCACTGAGCTAAATCCCCGGCCCCATGAATAGCTTTTGAGCAAGCAACTGCCTTGGTCTCCTCTTGTGTGACAGTAGCACCCACCTCCCACAGTTGAGACAACAACTAAGTGTTCTGACCATGGACACTGAGTACTGTGTTGTTATGAGTTCTCAGTGTCAAGGAAAGGAAGCAGATGAGGACGCAGGCCGAGGTCGTCCAGAGAACACAGCCTGGGTGGTGTTGGGGACAATCACGGAGGCCTTCCAGATTTGCCTGCAGACAGACCCCCACTCCTTGGGGCAGAGGAGGTGGGATGAGGGGTTAGGACTGGATGTAGGCAGGTAGGCAGGGTCTAGCAGGGACCTGGGGGGAGAGCTGAGGCTTGGAGGCTGAAAGGAGGTCCAGAGCCAGGGATGCAATGTGCCCATCTCTTCCAGGCCTGAGCTGCCACAGTGTTAGCTCTCAGCCCAGTGTGGACAGCTGTGGCACAGGCTACCCTCCAGGGAGCATCTAGGTCCCACCAGGCTTGCCAGGCTCTGCTGTCACTGGAGCTGTGCATGGATAGGGAGGGAGACCTTGAGTTACCTGTTCCAGTTCTAACTCTGCACTGAGGAAGTGTGCTCAGGGAAAGGAAGTGACTGTCCCAGGTCACAGCCTGTCAGGGGCTTTCTGGGACCAGCTGTGGAGTTTCTGACTCAGGTTAGGGCTTTGCAGCTGTGTCAGGAGTGGGCCATCTCCACATTCCTGAGCTCCCTGTGCCCAGGGCTGGACTGATGTAGTGGGTGAGGGAGCAGCGTGGAGAGAAAAGCACCCAGCAGCTGTGTGTGTGGACAGATGGACAGACACCAAGGTATGCTGTTGGGAGAAAGTGAACAGCAGCAGAATAGACAGGGTAGCAAAGAAAACTACCAAAATTGTCTGCAGTCCACCTTCATGGATAAGTGCAGACAGGTTTGGAGTTTTCCATGCCAGATGTGTGTGTCGGGGGGGTACAGGCTGGGGGGCTGGGAATGGGACACAGTCATTGGAAAGGAGCCTTCTTGCTGGCCCCACTACAGGAATGTAGTCAGGGAACACTTGGTGCATCACAGAAGGGCCCAGGAGAGGAGGCCACTGCAGCACCTACCGACTCCTCCGAAGGGCAGGCTGGCCAGGGTCATGTGCATGAAGCCGTCATTCCCACAGAATCCCCCACTGCTGGTCCGGGCCAGCACCTGTTTGACCACCTAGAACAGAGCAGGCCGTGTGAAGGCTGAACCCACTTCCACTATCTTGTTTCAGCAAGGACCTGGGGCCACTGCGTCAGCTCAGGGCAGGTGTGGAGTGGCCCCATGTGGAACCCCTAACCTGGAACAAGGAGTGTGTGGCCTTTAGGAGAGGCAAGATGCCCAGCATTGCCTGGGGACCTGAAGAGTGCAGTGGCAGTGGTGAGGTGCCTGTAGTCAGGGAGGCATCCCGGGGGAGGGACATGGTGTGCCTGGGAACATCAGGAGAAGGGCAACCTGGGAGACAGAGGGGCTGTAGGATGAGCAGGGGGACACTTAAGACATGATGACGTGGTCAGATTTCTACTTAGACACTTGAACTTGGCCCCTGCTTGACTTAATGAAGGACCTTCCTCTTCAGTCCGTGGGTTTATTTGAAGAATGAACAGGAAAAAAGATTGAGAGACACTGGCCACACCACACAGCAGCTTCATTCTATTTAGTTCCAATCAGTGTGACCTTCAGATGACAGCTGTGTCAGAGCTTGTCTGATGTGCGGTAGAATGGAGCCCTCCACCAGTAGGCTCAGATGTCTCTCCCTTGAGACCAGCATCAATGGCCATAGCAAGGCCAGAGGACAAGCACAAAGCACTATGTACTTCTGAACAGTGAGGGCAGGTACCTTCTGTGTCCTGAGACCAGTGCTGGGTGGCTAGGACAGTGTGAGGACCAGGTGACCCAAAGTAGAAGAAGCCTGAGACTTCTTGTAGAGCGAGAGAAGAAGTCACAGACTAAAGGCTGGGCATGTCATGAGGACACAGGCACTCCCTCTGCCCAAGCCTGGGTCAGAGCATGTCCCATGGGCCCCTGAATCACATAAATGTATGAGTCCATTATGACCTAAATGTAAATGATTCAAGTGACGTATCTCTCTTCTAGCATTCCAGATAATATATGTAGACGATATAATGTAGCAGATATTCCCCCTTCCTCAGATAGGGCCTAACTAGGCCCCCTGCGGTGAGGGCGGGCTGGATTGGGAGGCTTGCCCCAAAGACAAGAAGGGGTGTAATGGAGCAGGGTGTGGTGGCACACACCTGTAACCCCAGCACTCTGTCAGGCTGAGGCCGGAGGATGGCAAGTTGGAGCCCAGCCTGGGCAAGTTAATGAGATCTTTGTCTCAAAAAAATAAAAAGGGCTAGGAATGTAGCTCTGTGTGAAGACCCTAGGTTCAATCCTTAGTTTAAAAACAGTATGTGTAAGTGCCATGGCTCCTCATAGTGGACACCCCAGCCTTGCCCAGCTGATGATGGTTACACTTGACAGCCATGTGTGGCTCTCAGGTGCTCCAGAGTCGGCTCTAGCTTCTGAGGCATTATTATTATTATTTTATTATTTTGGTACCGGGGATCGAACTCAGGACCTTGCGCTTGTGAGGCAGGTGGCGGAACCACTAAGCTAAAACCCCAGCCCTTCTGAGGTATTCTTAAAAACCCTTACCTATTATTAAATCGTTAGAAAAACCAGACAACCTGAGATTAGGGACATTACAGAGGCCTGGCCAGCACTCCAGGCTGAGCTTAGCACAACATCAGATCTTGGAGCAGAGAGAGAAACTGGCAGGATCCCAAGAAAGTTAATAGTAGTTATTGGTGCTGTACCCAATCAGCACCTTCTGTGGGGAATGGGATGTGAGATACATGAGGACTCTGCAGTCTTTGCAGCTTTTCTAAACCTGTAAATCTAAAGTTAGTCCCCAGAATAAAAAGTATATTTAGGGCCAGGGATTTAGCTCAGTGGTTCCGCCGCCTGCCTCACAAGCCCAAGATCCCAAGTTCGATCCCCGGTACCAAAAAAAAGTATATGTAAAGCCACTGTTTGATTTAAAAAACTAAGATGTGTTATGTACATGTACCACCTCCCCATGACAAATGTAATCATTACTGCAAACATGTACTAATAAAAATAAAAATGTAAAAGTATTTCAAACCATTGTTTGGACAGGGAGAGACTCTCATGAGGGATAGGTGAGAGGGAGTGTTGGTGCTTCTTGGTGTGTCCTAGGCTGGGAACTCCCCCCTGCCATTGGGGCTCCCAGGGATGGAGGACCAAGGCTCAATCTGGGCCTTGCATGTTCTAGTCACTCCTGCACCCTTTGCTCCCCAGCTCCTCCAGAGCCAGGCACTGAGGGCCAACATTGTGGCCACTAGGCTGAGATATATAGGAGAGTACACAGGTAAGGGACACGGCCCTGGAGATCTTGGGGAGCTACCCACTGAAGGTTCAGCACAGTGTGGTGCAGATAGGGTGTGTGGGAATCTCAGCTGTTCCTGTGGGAGGCCAGGGCCAGAGCCAAGAAGCCACCATCCCTGAAGTCCTACGACTGGCCCAGAGGGGCCGCATCCCCTCTGCTGCCACCACTCCTATGGCCCACTACTGGCACTTGATCCCACCCTGACCAGCCAGCTGAGCCCCACCTGGCTATTGTTGGAGAAGGCGTACAGGGCCAGTGGCTTCTCCCGACGGTTGATGAAGTCAATGGCCTCATCCAGGCTCCTCACAGTCATCAGGGGCAGGATGGGCCCGAAGACCTCCTCTTGCATCACCTTATCCATCTCCTGCACGTCCACCAGCACTGTGGGTGCTGCGGATACAGGGACAACTCAGCCTTGTGCATAGCCTGGACACCCCTAGGTGGAGGCCCAGGGTCTGACCTCCCAGGACACCAGCCTCCTAGGATCTGAGGATCTGGGGTCCAAGTTCTGCATTTGAGGGATAGCATATGAGATGACAGTCCTTTAACTCACACTCTGGCCCCCCAGAACTGAAGTCTAAGCTCAACAGATCCAGAGCTTTGGGACCAGATTTTAAAATTAGGGAGTCACAGGCTCAGAACCACAGTGAGCTGGAGCATTCGTGCTCTGGAATTGTGGGACTGAGACTATGGACTTAGGCCAGACTCTAGCAGCATGGAAGGTTCTTAGGCAGGTAAGCTCTGGTAGGGAGAGGGACGCTCACCGATGTAGAGATTGCTCTCATCACTCTGACCACCGATGGCCACGCGGCCACAGCTCAGCAGTTCCTGGAGCCGCTTGAAATGTTTCTGGTTGATGATGCGGCCCAGGTTGGGGGAGTTCTGGGGGTCGTCGCCATAGAAACGGGTGATGGCATTCTGCAAGGCGGGAAGCAGCCGCTCCTGCATGTCTGAGCTGCACAGGACGTAATCAGGAGCCACACAGGTCTGGCCCGTGTTGAAGTAGCGAAACCAAGCCAGGCGGTTGGCCACAGTCTGGGGGTCACAGTTGTCATCCACATAGCAGGGGTTCTTGCCCCCCAGCTCCAGGGTGACGGGCGTCAGGTGCTTGGCGGCGGCAGCCATGACAATCTTGCCTACACGAGGGTTCCCTGGGGACATGGCAAGAACCCAGAGTGGCCCCTTCAGTCACTGTGAGCAGGCAGGATGGCCTTGCCTTGGAGACCTGGCTCCTCCCTGGAGAGGTGGTTGAGGCAGCCGGGATCAGGCCTCACCAGGCGTCCTTGCCATTCTGCCACCTTGCAGGCAAAGAATCTGCTCAGCTCACCGCCCTGACATACCCCCCAAATGCAGGGACTCTCGCAACACAGGGTTTGCTCTGGGCACCCATTAGTGAGGCCCCACCCACCCAGGGGAGCCCTTCGCCTCCTACTTGTGCTGTAGTTTTTTCTTTCCTTTTTTTTTTTTTGGCAGTACTGGGGATTGAACCCAGGAGTGCTCTACCACTGCCCTATATGCACAACCCTGTTGGTTTTTTTACTTTTTTTTTTTAATGGGGGGGTCATTTTGTGGTTTTTTTTTTTTTTTTTTTTTTTTTTTGTACCAGGGATCGAACTCCGGACCTTGCACTTGAGAGGCAGGCAGCGGCCCCACTGAGCTAAATCCCCAGCCTTTTTTTGTGTTTTTTGGGAATGGTCTCACTATAAAGTTCAGGCTGGCATTAAACTTACTATGTAGCCCAGGCTGGCCTCAAACTCACAACGATCCTCCTACCTCAGTTTCCCGGGTGCTGGGACTACAGGTGTGTGCCACCACATCCAGCAAGACAGGGTCTTGCTGAGTTGCTATTTTGCCCAGGGTGGATTCAAACTGAACCTCCTGCCTCAGCCTCCTGAGTAGCTAGGATTCCGGCCATGTAGCACTGTCTCTCTGTTTCTGACCCTGGCCAACCTTGCAGACAACCCTTTCTAAAATGCAGCTTTGCTCCCCCCACCTCCCACCTCTCCATTTTCCCCTAGAACCTCCAGTGACCCCTTATCATCCAAGACCAGAGTCCACCTCGTAGCTCGGCTGATGTTTGGGTCTCTCTCTCCTGCTCACTCCTCCCCAAGTTCCAAAGTCTGGAGGGCCCCTCCCCAGGGAGGTGGCTCCTTCCCAGGCAGTTCCTTCCTAAGGCAGTTTGGTCCAAGGCTCCACACTGCTGTCCTGAGGGCGGCTCCATAACTCTCCCGGTTCTTGCTAGCTCTCTGCCTGCCCATAAACACTCCAGAGGTTTAGCCCTTCCAGCCCCTGCAGAACCCCATAAGGTCAGTGCACTCAGGAAACATCACTGACTCAGCGAACGTTTGCTGGGAGAGGGAAGGATGGATGCTTCCCAAGGACTTCATGCATAGTTTGATTCATTCATCCTTGGGCACACCTGTGACTTTGGGACTGCCCTGGTTTTACAGATAAGGAAACGGGCCTGGAGAAATCAAGGGGTGGATTCATGGATCTGGCCTGGAAGCCAGCCTGTGGCAGTCACCTTGCCTCTGCACCCTGGCGCTGGAGGCCTGGCCTAGCACCCACCATACCTGTGAGGTGAGTGGTTGGAGGTACCCTGGGGGCCCCCAGCCCCTTGTTCCCCCATCTGCAGGGCAGGACTGCAGGAGATATGCTTCCCCACAGTGAGGGCCAGCCCCTTTTGCTCCACAGTGGCTTCCCTGTCAAACAGGGCTTTTCCTGTGCTGGGTGCAGGCTCTAGAGAGGAGGACAAGGCCGGCACCCTCCTCACTCTGACATAGTATGCAGGGCTGGAGGCGAGCTGTGGGGTCGGGCAGACCCTGGAAGCACTGCGCCATGCCTCCTCCTCTCTAGAAACTGCCTTCTGATCCTAAGCCAGGTGGTGTCTGGGCCAGGTATGCACAAGCTAGGGCCATGGCAAGTGACCACTGGGCCGATTCTCACCTGGGCTTGGGTACAGAGGTGACCTGGCCAGCGAGGTGACCCTGAGTGGAGCACTTTGGCCCTTCCTCACCCTGGTCCAGTCCCTCAGTGACTGGCCTGCAGGGGACTGCAGGGACAAGCAAGGTCCCCAGTACAGCCTGGGATCAGCAGGAGCTCAGAAGGACAGATGTTTGATTCCTGAGATCATGGTTAGCAGAGGTGGGCTGTGGCCCCAGCACAGCACTCTGTCCCTTGCTGAGCATCCAGGTCTATTCCCAGCCAGGGCATTCGCCAATCAGACTCCTCCCTGGCTGCCTGCCTGCCTTCCAAGGGCAGGGACAAGATCCCCAGTGGCCTCACCTGTGAAGAAGATGTAGTCAAATCTGTGCTCCAGCAGCCGCGCCGTCTCCTCGGGGCCGCCCAATGCTACGGCAAAGCAGCTCTGCAAGGTACACAGGCGAGGGCTCCTTCTGGGACCCCTGCTTTAGAGCCCAGACGGCAGCCTAACCTGCCTGGCCCCTGCTGCCCTCCTGGCTGGTGCAACTAGGGTTGTCCAGGCTCTAGGGCGCTGGGTGAAGTGAGATGGGGAGTGGAGCCTGGAGAGTGGGGCCAGCCCCAGTCAGTCACAGGACCCCAAGGGACAAGCTGCCCTGGCCAGCCCTCAGAGGAGCGAGGGTGATTTGGCCACACCATGCACCTCAGAAGAGGCGGCACTGGGCTAAGCCTGCGGCCCTCCCACATCGGGCCCTACCAGTCCCTGCTCTGTCTGCCCCACAGCCCTGCTCACCTGGTCCAGGTAGCGGGGCAGTACCTCAGCCAGGATCTTCTCGATGCTCTTGCTGATCTCTGATGGCTTCAGAACCACACAGTTGCCTGCGGGCAGCACAGTGAGAGAGACACTGGGCAAAGCTGCTTGCCCCATCTCCTTACCCTGCCAGAGAGGCTGTGATCTCACCCACTTTCAAATAACGAATTCAGCCTGGAGGTGAGCTGGGGCCTGAGACAGCACAGCCCTGGGCGGTGGGCCATTCAGGGACTCCTGCAGCCGGCTCTCCAGTGTCCTCCTTGGCTCTGGGAGTGGCCCTGCGGCCTCAGGTCAGGGGACAGGGAAGGTGGAGGCTCCCCTCTCACCTGCCGCAATGGCCCCCACCAGGGGCACCAGGATCAGGTTCAGAGGGTAGTTCCAGGGGGCGATGATGAGCACCAGGCCGAAGGGCTCCTTCCGGATGAAGGCCGAGTCTAGTTGGGTGACCTGGGCCAGGAGCCAGGGTGAACAATGAGAGGCATCCAGAGGCCATCCCAAGGGAGCAAACAGTCCCCGAAGCCACCTACCAGCCCTGTCCCCGAACCACTCACCAGGTTCTTGGGCACCTTCTGGTCCTTCATCCAGGCCCGAAGGTTCCTGAGGGCCAAGTCCACCTCGCCCTGGCTAATGGCAATCTCGGACACTTCTGACTCGAAGGCAGACTGTGGGTGGGGAGAACCCAGGTCAGCAAGTGGCCAGCACGTGGTGGGCACAGCCTCTCCCCAGCAGGACCCACCCTGGCTCAGTGACAGCTTCAAAGTAGGTGCTGTTCCTTTACCAGGAATGCAATGGTGACCAAAACAGATGGAGGAACTTGCCCTCTGGGGCTGAAACTGTCACACAGGGGACAGTCGCCAAGTCTGAGAATGTCGACAGCTGTGTTGTGACAAGTGCTATGGGAAGAGCGGAGCAGGCCAAAGGGGTAGACTGCTGGAGTGTGAGTGTGTGCAGGGGGTGTGGGTGTGCACAAGTTGAGTGTGTGTGTACGTGTGCACTTGCTTCATTTTATACAAGGTAGCCAGTGCTTAGAGAAAGGCAGAGAGGGAGCCTTGGATAGCTGGAGGTGCACTACGCTGGGCAGAGATCCCAGCAGGCACAAAAGGCCCTGAGGCTGGTGAGGGCCAGCTCTGTTCCTGCTCAGTAAGGAGTGCAGTGGGTGAGGTGATGGGGCAGAGTCATGCCACACAGAGCAGAGACAGGGTCTAAGCTTTAACAGGACTGACTGTGTGGCTGCTAATGTCTGCATGTGTTGATCCACCTGCAGGGGACATGGCATACAGCCATCCCTGAGTACATGTCAGCTCCCACAGCCCAGGGACCAGGGGCGACTGTCAGCTTTCCAAGGCAGGAGTGAGGAGGCAGAAATCTACAGGGGCGCTGTCTTGGTCTCCAGCAGCTGTTGTGTCCTGTTCCCAGCCCTAGGAGACACTGGTCCTTAGGGTGCAGGCAGCAGAAGGCTGTGGCCAGGACACCAGAGCCAGGTGCTGTCCCTGCCTGAGTTGCAGCTGTTACAGTGTAGCTGTCCTCTATGACAGCAGAGTAGGATGGGCCAGAGGGGTGCTGGGATAGTCCAGTGGGCAGGTAAAGGCCAGCGAAGGGGGTGCCCTGTGCAAGGTCACTCGGCAAATCAGCGGCAAGACCCAGGGCCAGAGATGAGCCGAGCAGGAGGGGCTGGGACTCGAGAGGAGTCCTTCCTGGTAGCTGATCCTGGCTCCAGCTGCCTTCAGCCACACCTGTGTTCACAGCGGCTGCTTTCCTGCCAGCCTGTCAGCCTGCCTCACATGTCTGATAAGTCCCCTGGGCTTGAATAGGATGTGAGCTGCTTCCCAGAACTATGGAGCAATCTGAACATCATGACTCTGGGACAGTAAGCTACTTTGAGCCAGGTTCAAAGCCTGGCTCTACTCTTCCTGGCTGTGTGTCTTTAGGCAAGGATGTGTCCTCTCTGAGCCTCCTCTGACACAGCGAGAAGAGCTGGTGTGGCTGAACTGAGAATGTAATGGGCAGAGGCTGCCTGAGGGAGGGAGCCATTGAATTTTCTGGGCTGCTGCTTCCTTTGTGAGGCCTGAGCTTCTGGAGTCAGGGTGAGAAAGCAGAAGGGAAATCTGAGCTGCAGGGGGAAAGGGACCAGATAGCCCAGTCAGGGACAGGAGGTAGCTGGGCTGGCCCGTGAGAAGCTGGTGGAGGCTGGATGGTGGCAGGGTGGTCTGTTCCCAGGGAGTTCACCAGGCTGGGACAGGCTCTGCATGCTGAGGCCTTTGAGGCAATGGCAGGGGACATTTTGTCCAGAGAGGAAAAGCCCCAGGGCAGCCCCTTGGACAGCTGTCCTGGGCTGTAGTGGTCAAGTAGTGGCCTTGCTGGTGAGGGCTTGGGGACTGGCTACAGGGAAAGGTGTTTCTGGGGACTCCACCATGGCTGCTGCTGAACCTGGAGGGGCTGAGCCCTCAGCATCCAGGATCCTGATAGAGGCTGTGATGCCCCACTGTACCCAGTGAGGCGCTCATCCCTCAGACCTGACAGGGCCCTTCGAGGTGTGACCCACCTCCAGGTCTCATCTTTCACCTGTCTCTCCACTCCCTTCAGCACCCCTGGCCTGCTGGAGCTGCTCAAGCACAAATACTCTAAGTTCCCTCTGCCTCAGGGCTTTTGCACAGCTGCATTGAGCCCTCCCCATCCCTCCTTCCCTCCACATCTGCTCTGTGTCCCCTTCGCAGGGAAATTTCCTCCCCCACAGATAAGCCAGTGCCCCCATACACACTGGGAGCACCTTTGTGGCATTGTCACCTCCCAACACTCTGTAACTGTGTTGACTGTTGGGATGTCTCCCCTACAAGTTCAGCTAGGTAAATGGGGACTTTGCTTACTTCTCTGTGTATCCCAGAGCCTAGGCCTGAACCTGGCGGTCCGATGCAGCTGAACAGAGGAAAGCAGATGAGTTCTGGCCAAGGAAGGAGCTGGGACTTGAGGGGCAATTAGTTCCCCTTCCTGGAGGACAGGCCTCTCCCTGTCCCCTTTGTCCCAGATCCCTCCAACCGCCCCCCCCCGAATTGCCCTCCCTGCATCCCCAGCCCCAGCCACCTTATGCAGGTCTTGGGCCAGTGCATCCTGCAGCAGCTGCTTGTTTTCCTGCAGGAAGCGGCCCAGGCCCTCCAGCTGTGCCACCCGGAATGCAGCCGGCTGAGTCCGCCCCGAGCTGAAGGCCTCCCGCAGCCGCAGCACTGTGTCCTCGAAGGCATCCATCCTGCCAGATGGCTGGAGTGAGATGGGTGGCCGCGGGGGCTGTCCCCACCTTTGGGAACACCAGGCAGCCACCCCAGGGCCTGCAGTAGCCCTGCCCCTGCCAATCTCACAGTGGCTCACAGTCCTTCCCCCACACAGAGGCCCCCAGAAACCCCAGGCCAGGTGCTGCCCTCAAGCCCTGCCCCATGCGACACACAACAGCCCTCAGACCATTCCATCTGCCAGGGAGCTCCGGGCTGCAGGGCTGGGTGGGGGCTTGGGACAGCCGCTCCTGGCTGCTGGCAGGCAGGCCAGGGCCGCACTTCTTCCTGCTGTGACACCACCCAGCCTGTCCCCCACCCTCACATCTTGGTCTTACCAAGCTGGCCAAGTGGGGTGTACGGGAGTGCAGTAAGCAAAGGGACACGCCACCAGCTTCCAAGAAACCACCAATTTGGACCACGCCAGACTCGCACGTCTGTGTTCCCCAGCACTGCACAGAGGACCAGGTGGCTAGTGGCAGCTCAGGGGCCTGGGTGACCTTGGGCAGTGGTCCCTCTCCCTGCACGTCAGCACTGCCCCCACAAGGGGAAGAAGAACCAACCCTGGCCTCTGGAAGCCCTGCCCCCATGCCAGTTTAGAATTCGGATTACAGGAGGAAGTGATAGTACCGGAAGAGAAGCAAGGGGTGAGGGGCAGTCATGTCTCCATGCTGCCATTAGTCAAGGCTGGCAAGCAGGATAGAGGCCTGCCTGTTTACTTGAGACTCATCAGAGGAGCACTGTGACACGTTCTGTGCTCAACCTGGTGTAAAGGACCCGTGGGGACCCTATCCTCATTCACTTTCTGCCTCTCTTCTCTTTAGGTCTGAGCTGGGCTGATGCCTCTTCCAGGGAACCCTCCCTGACTGCTCTCTCATCACCCTCACAGTGGTATTTGGCTGTGCTCCCACTGACCTGGTCATGTCATTTTGTAAAAGCCCCAGTTACTCTGTCTACCTCTATTCCACTCCAGGACTGCCAGGTGCTGTCAGATGGACGCCCTGAGGGGCAAACTCAGCCTTACTCTTGGGATGCCTGTTCTGAATTGTCCAAGAGCAGGTTTGGAGCCCTAGGCTGCTCCAGCTCCAAGCTTGGCCCAAGCTGACCCCACAGACCTCATGTTCTGACCTGGAAAGGCTGGGCATTTGGCTCAGCACAGACCAGGCCCTGGCCCCCAGAGGTGGGTAGGAGCAGAAGTGGCCACAGCCTGCAGGCCTCAGAGCCCCATCAGGCTGAGATTCCAGCTCTCCTGAGATCTTGGGCAAAGCCTCTCCCTGCCTCCGTTTCCTGGTCCCTAGTTCTGCTGGGGATCCCATGGCGTAATGCTGCACAAAGCACTTGGCACTGTGCTCACAGAAAGCTCAGGCAAGGTCGGCTACAGGTATTTTACTAAGAAGTCTATAAATATTTGTTGCCCTGCCCACTCTCCTGGCCTTTCTCTCTGGCTCTCACCTCTAACTGCCACTGACCAGGGCCAAGGCGGACATGCCTGCCCCTCCTGCCTTTCATCAGGGGCTCTGCAGAGTCCACAAAAATGTAAAATGAGAAGCAGGACCATGGCCTCGTGGGGAGGGGAACTCTTCAGGGGCAGAAGATTCCAGCGCCTGCTCCTGGCAACAGCGAGGACAATGCTCCCGGCAGCAGGGGACCACAAACCTGGCCTGGCTGAGGTCCCAGGGAGTGCCCATCAGGCTGTGGGGACAGGCAGGACCCTGGTAAGTAGAGGAGCCAAGGCTGGATCAGGGGACCCTGGGCTCTGATCTCACAGAGGAGCTGAGCAGACATTGTGGATGCAAAGCACAGGGGATTTCTGATGCTCAGGCACAGGGATGGGCATCGGCCCTGGTTCCTTGGTACATCTGGTACTTAAACACTACGCCAGCTAAGCAAGGGACCATTATTCACCCAGTTGAAGGAGGTAGAGACCAAGACAGAGAGGGCAAGGAGCTTGCCTGAGGCCACCCAGCTTCTTCTTCAGAGTGGATAATCTGGATCCAGAGGAGCAGAGGCTGTTCCTGCAGTCTGGCCACAGTCCCCTGGGGAAGGGATACTTGTGGACTGGGACCCAGGGCCTGTCTCTGAGGGCAAGGAGGGGGCCAGCAGGAGTGAGAAGGTGCACTGCTGGTCCCTCAGCCCCATCTCAGCCTTGTTCCTGCCAGTCGTGGGGGTACAGGCCCAAGACTTCTGCAAGCCCCTAAAGTCCAGGGGCTGTGGGGCCCAGGGGTCTCCATGAGGGTGGGGTGGGGCAGGATTTGCCACATCCTTTGATGGTGAGAAGATGGTCCTGTTTCCCCTGAGGGCCAGGTCAGGACAAGCCATTGGCCCTCAGGACCATGGGCTTGAGGAGTCCCCTAAAAGTAATAATCAGGGAAGCAGGGAATGGTGGCATTTGCCTATAAAATCCCCAATTTGGGTGGGTGGGGGGGATGAGGCAGGAGGATGGAAAGTTTGAGGTCAGCCTGGGCAATTTAGTGAGACTGTCTCAAAAATAAAAAGGGCTGGGGATGTAGCTCAGTGGTACACTCCCTCCAAAATCATAATAACCACACCTTGACCCTGCCAGGCACTGGGCCAGCATGGGTACTGGCACTGGGTCACAGACTAGAGGAGGGGGAGGAATGGAGTGGGCACCCAGGTCTGTGGACGACGATGATGACTCACGGGGATGACTGCTGCCGAGGGCCCTGCTCTATGCTCCTTGCGACTCCCACCAATGGGCAGATGCCTGTTCCTCACCCACCCAGCTATCAGGAGGGCTGGACTCTGGGAAGGAGCAGGCAGCCCATCCACTCATTCTTCCCAATTCCAAGTCTTTATCTGCATTGTTGCCTTCTAAGGGTGCCCCAGCCAGTGTAGGATGGTCTGGGAACCCAGTGACCTGGGTTCAAATCCCAGCAACTACGATTATTAGCTGCAGTATCTTGGGCAGGTCTTATGGCCTCTCTATGGCTCAATTTTCCTATCTGTGAAATGGGAGCAATACCTGTAGCCACCCACAGCGCTGCAGGCGGAATGTGAGTCAAGCTTCAGAGAGCTTATCTTGGGGCAGAGCCTGGTCACTGTGGCTCTGAGTTGAGACTCAGACAGATGGTGAGGGACAGATGCCCCAGAGGGAGATGGAGGAGGAGATCCTGGGTTGGGGCCCAAAGGGACCTTGATGGCAGGAGAGTGGGACATCAATTTGAGACCCGGGTGGCGGCAGGGATGTGGTGAAAGAGGTACGTGAACATGTTGTCCAAGGGCCTAGGGACCCCCATCAGGGAAACTGGACGGCGCAGGGATTGGGTCAGCCTGAAAAGCCCCAATACCAGGGTCTCCAGTTCTAACCTCCTGCCATTTTGCCTGAACCAGGAGTTCACAGGGTCTCCCAGGCTCTGGACAGCAGCCCTCCTTCCCCTTGTGGGGTCCTTGGGGAGCTAGATGAAGGTACCCTTTAGCCTACAGACTGAGCAACCCTGCTGCACTCCCGAGGTGAGGCTGCTTCCCACCCTCCCAGATCCCAGAGTCCCTCAACAGAGTCCCTCTTCAGGGCAGGGCAGTTCCGGAGTCCCTCCCTCCCTGGGCTCTGGCAAAGTTCATGGCCAAGAAGAGTCTTTCTTGAGGTTATTCAGGCCTCCCTGTGCCTCCCTGCTGGCAGCCAGTGCCTTCCTCAGCCCTCCCTCTCCTAGCCCTCCACCTCCAGTTCCTTATCCCCCGCAAGGGGAAGACGGGTGAACTCAGCAGGACAGCTGGGCCTGTGTGTTGCAGCTGCCGCTAAGAGTTGCTAAGCCTGCTTGGACACCAGCTACCCTGAGCAGCTGAGCTGGGTCCTGGGCCCTACTGATGGCTGCAGCCCCATCCTCCCCAGGATATAGTACCTCAGCTCCGCCAAGCTGCTGGTGTTCCAGCTGTCCCTGCTCTGCTGCGGTCCTGAAGTTACAAAATGTCTAACCCAGCCAGCTCATGGGGCGGGGCTGCCCTGGCCTGGTGCCTGACCTTGGCTCAGGGCCAGCTTGAGGCTGCAGGCAGAGAGATCACTGGCACCCCCCCCCCCCGCCCACAGGGCAGGGCCTGGCCTACAGAGAAGGAGGCAGAGCCCAGAGAGGTCTGGCGCCAGCCAGGCCACACAGCAGGTCTGAGCTCTGAGCCTGGGGCAGTGGCAGAATACCAAGAAAAGCCCTGCCTGCTACCCCACCTTTTCTTTGAGGCATTGCCTATTCTGAGCCTTAGTTTTCCCCTCCACAAAATGAAATGACCAGAGCCAGAGATGGTTGGAGTTCAGGAACGCAACCTCAGGACCATGCCTGCTGCCTGCTGTGACTCCAGGCCCCGAAGACCACCCCATTCACAGAGCCCCCCCCCAAAGCTCACATTTTACAAATGAGGAAAGGGGCCCAGGGAGGGGACAGAGCTTGCCCACATGGGGTGTGAGTGGCAGGGTTTCTTGCTCCAGACCAAGATCCATCCCCACAGATGTCCCCTCCATCTTCTGGGGACAAGTGCCACCCTCTACCCTCTAGGACAACAGTCATGATGCTACAGGTCACTGTGATGGCTCCCGAATTCCTGTTGCTTGTCAGGTGCAGAGCTGTGCCCAGGGCCTGTCCCCTGCTTTGCCCCCCCCCCCCGGGCACACCTGTTGGAGCCAGCACAAAGGGGATGATTCTGAGCAGCTGCTGGGGACAGACAGGCAGGTGATTGGGTTACAGGTGTTGGAGGCACATCCTTTGTGCCACTGACACCTCCGCAGTCCCCCGCCCCACTGTGCCCTGGGTCTGCCTGGAGGCTCCTGGCCTAGAGCCTCTGGGCCAACCTTGCACCTGGGGATGCTCATGCTCATCACTACCCCACCCTCACCCCGGCCTACCTGGGAGGGTAGGAGAGGTCTTCTGGCCCCCACACACTCTGGGACCCCTGGAGGCTTTAGCAGGGTAGGGGGCTGCAGAGGCCCCTGTCCTCTGCGCGGAATGGAGCCCCCAGCCGCCACCTGTCACGTGGCTCAGCATGTGACAGCCCTGCTTTGCTGCTCTCTGGAGCTGAGCCAGGCAGAAGCTAAGGAAGAGCGGGTGCCAGGCAGGGCTGGGCTGAGGCTGAGCCTGCAGCTCTCAGCCAGGAGTGAATCCCAGAGAGGAGCAGCCACTGGTCTAAGGCCACACAGCCAACCGAGGCCCACCTGAGAAGGTCCAGGAAGGTAAGAGGGGTGCCACAGAATCCTGAGGACCCTCTCTTTAGCCAGAGGGCAGTTGGAGGATCTCCGTGCAGGGGCTGAACTTGTCAGTTCAGGAGCAGCATGGGAGGCGGCCCCTAAAACCTAGGGACCTTGTCCTCCAGGGCGGGGTGCCTCTACACCTAGGGTCATCAGGGGCTGGGCCTCCCCTCTGTCCTTGCTCCTAGAGACTCCATGGGGCTGGATAGTTACTACTCTTTGGAGGAGAGCCCAGGATAACTGGGGACCCCTGGATGGGACCCTGAGTGGCCTTCACTTTTTTTTTTGGTTCCAGGAATCAAACTCAGAACCTTGTGCTGGCAAGGCATGTGCGGTACCACTGAGCTAAATCCCTGGCCCCTTTCACTTTTTTAAATCTCTGTCTCCATGTAGTAACCCTTAGGACAAGGGTAAGGGGTTTGGCCTGCGGCATTGCTCAGGTTCAGGTGCGTAGAGGGGAGTGGTCCAGCAGGGAGTAGAGGAGAGCAGCCCAGTAGCTCCAGTTGTATTATCCACATTATTTACCCTCTGAGAGACCTGGTCCCCGAAAATTTGTAAGGGATGTTGAAGAAGGCATGTCTATCTTTTTCTTTTAAGACTCATGGAAATTTATTTCCAGAACACTAACAAAAACATGCTGGTGAGTATAGCTTGATAGAAATGTAACAGAATTTTGATGAATTATGGGAAGAAAGCAGTAGCATACTAATAAATTATATATACAGGACAAAAAGGACTTGTTCTATATTGCTTAGCAACTTCTGCTCCAAATCATTTGGCCTGTTATCCCAAGCTGGCATGAACTGGCTCCAGCATGCCAGAAGGAATAGGGGCTCCATGATAACATTGTATAAGAAGCTAAAGAAAGCTGGAGACATTGCAATCTCTGTACAGAACGTGACACACAAAGGTATCACCTGGGTTCGAAGTCTTGAGTTTAATTCTTTTCTTTTCTTTCCTTTTTCTTTGACACAAGGTCTTTCTATGTAGTTCAGGCTGGCCTCAAACTCATGGTGATCCTTCTACCTCAGCCTCCTGAGTGGTGGTATTATAGGCATGCACCAACATACCCAGCTTTTTTTTTTGAGACAGGATCCCACTATATAGTTCAGCCTGGCCTTTGGCCTAGAACTCTCAGTGATCTTCCTGCCTCAGCTCCCAAGTGCTGGGATTACAGGTGTTCACCACCACACCAGGCTTTCTTTGATCTTTTTTTTTTGAACTCGGGTCCTTGCGCTTGCGCAGCAGGCAGCGAAACCACTGAGCTAAATCCCCGGCCCTCACACCAGGCTTTCTTGAGGTTATTTCAAAGTCCCTAGCTGGCCAAGAGGAAGAGGAAGGAGAGAAAGCATTAGGTCCACTAATGTATTCCTCTGTGGGTGGCTGAGCTCAGCTCTTGGTGCGGTATGCACTCAATCTTGTCTTCCTCAATGGCATAAAATATGATATGGAAAACACTAAGTAAAAGGGACACTAATTCCAGGACTTACAAACAGCTTGAGAGCCAGTTCACATTACAGAACCACCATCTCTGAACAGCACAGATTTGTCTATGCAAAGGGTGGCTGCTGTAGGTCTGAAGGTGGGGGACTGGCATGTGAGGGCGGAGCTGGGAGACCAGGTGAAAGTGAGGGCTACTTGGGTCTAGGGAGCAGGCAGCTAAGGCTCTAAATGGAGAAAACATTCACTGTCCTGCAAATGTCTCTCAAGCAGAGAGTTAGTAAATGCATAAAGGAAGAGAAGATGACTTCTCTGAACTAATGAAGTGAGGCCTGATCAAGACCTGGCGAGGGATGGGTGGGAAGAGGAGGGAGGGATTGGGGCTGGATATAAACTGGGCACATTACTCTGGAGCTCTACCCAGAATCTCTCCAACACTGCCACACAGAAAGCTATAGCCCCTTCACTTTACTCTTCTTTACATACATTATGCAAAGTATACTGCTTCATATCACCTCTATTCTGTACACCAAGATATTTCCTGCCACATTCTCCCTGACTCATTAGTCATTTGTATGCCTTTAGATTTTATGTTAAAGCTCCTGAAACCTGCCTGATCTAAAGTACATTAAGAAGCTCCCATACTCTGCCAATCCAGTCACCATTTTCTTAAGACTACTTTGTGCCCAAAGAAGGAACTGAGGTTATGGGTGACAGTGACAGCTGCAGCCTGAGGAAAGGATACTGGAGGAGGGAGGTGAAAGGATCCTATGGCTGGAATACACTGTCACTTGTTCAAAAAGGCTACTAATTGTCTGCGATTCCAGATGCAGAATCTTCTCCCATGGGGGGCAACAGTCTCTGATGGGTCTGGGCATCAGCCATGACTGTGACCTCTGCGGGCTCATCAGCTGCAACCGCACAGATGGTCAGGGGCTTCTTATCACAAGATCACAAGCAGAACATAAGATAAAGGAGGCCAGAGAAAAACATCTTGAGGAATGAGTAGATATGGGACCTATCATTCACGTTGTAGAAGGAGACAGTTCCTAATTCACAGTCCAGGAAAATCCCAACCTGATGAGGGATTTCTGGCAATGAAAGGACACAGAGTGGGGTGGGGGCCCAGTACTCCTTTCCAGACAACTCCACAACCCAGAAGCCATTCTTGGGAGACATGAGGATGAACCCTTTCTTCATCACTTCTGCACATCACATCATCACATCACATCATCACATCACATTACTTCATCACATCAGTCTCCCACCTCCACCTCCCAGTAGTGTCTTCCTGAGGTGAAGGGCTTCTTGTCTAACACACAGGGCCAGGAGTCAAATCTCTTTGGATTTTCAAGGTAGATTATGATGAGAATCTTCTAGTCGCACAGATTTTAAATTCTTGGACAGAAGAAGTGGGGGTAGGCCGTGCCTGGATCCAGGGTCACATCAATTGCATATGATCGAGCCAGTTTCCATTCTGTGGGACTAATTTCATCCTTTCTCTCTTTCTTTACACATTTTCTGTATAGTTGCCAAATGATAAATATCCCAATAACTCCCATAAATACTGCAACCTTTGAGAAACTCCAAATTGGGGAAGAGGGAGCCGATATGAAAATCCCTACTTCCTTCTGCTGGCCAAGGAGCAGATTGTAGATGCAGCAGGGCACATTCTCCAGGGAGGTGTCTCTGATGATCACTGAAGCTGCCACGGTGAAAAGGCCTTCTTGGTCAGGATTCCTGGACTCAGTCCTGGACAGAAACTTCTTCCATGTGGGAGTTCTCCGCTGCACCTATGGCTCTAGGTACCACTCCTACCACTCCACAGAGTTGCACTCCAAGTGGACAGCTCCACTTTCCTGAACTTCCATATTGATGTGAGAGTCAGAGCCCAGGACTGCTACTCTTAGCAGCAGAAAGGCTTCTCCATGGGCCTGGTTGTCTCTGAATGAGCACCCATATACCCCTTCATCAAAGGCCCATGTATCCTCAGCACTGCACGTCCCGGAGTGATGTTGTCTGTGACCAGTGTCACCCTTCCCTGGTACTCAGGCATCTGCTCTCCCTCTTGTTCTTGCCCATCCTGGTGCACCAACACAGTCAGCAAGAATGTGTTCCAGAGTCACCAAAGTTCCATGTGCTCAGCACTCACATTTGGTGAAAGATAACAGGGCAGATCAGAGTCTTCACCCACTAAGACCAGGATGGACTCCAGAGGTCCAAGGACTTCAAAGGGAGCTGCATCCAGTGTAGGCAGCTGCAGGAGCCTAAGGGTGAGCAGACACCCAGGGAGGAAGTTTGGGAAAATGGCCATCCATGTCCTTTCTGGTGCAGGAGGATACTGACATAAGTCTACGTGGAACTTCAGTGCCTTGGGACTCCATCTGAAAGTCATGGCCCACAGAACTGAGGCAAGTGACAGCTCTCCATCATAAAAGTATGTTAATAAGTTAAATTTAGCAGCTTAATTAAGCAAAGCAGCACTGGGACCCAGGCAGCCCGCCATCCAGGTAGAAGCAGAAATCCAGCAACCCACAAGTAATTGGAATGTCTATCTCTTATAGCTACTTTGTCCTGAGTAGGGAAATTGACCCTACCTATGAGAGATCCCAGAATTCTCACCATAACTGATCTAGGAAGCTAAGGAAACCATATTCTTCTTCCACGGATTTGTTGTTGAGCTCTATATGAAGGTGGGTTTTTGGTCCTTGGCTCAAATCATCATCAGGTGTTTAATAAGAAGAAACAAGTTCAATTAAGAGATTAAGTATGGATGGTCCAAATAGTAAGACTGTGAGAAGCATTAACAAAGGCCCCATCAAGGGAAATAAGCGAGGTGCCCAATTCCAGATTTTGACCAGCATCCCCATGACTCAGCTAGTTAGTTCCTGGTGGATCTTAACAACACAGTCAGCTAGCTTTCATGCTGTGTCTTTCACTATTTTAGACGGATTGACAAAGAAACAACATTTTTTTTCTAGAAACAGACATAATCTTCCTTTCTCAGTAGTCAGGTGGTCTAGTCCCCCATGGTTTTGTAGAGCCAATGCTGCCAGTGAATCTATTGGATTTGGGGGATGACAATGCTCTGGAAGATTTGGACTAGGCTGTGTGTCAGGTCCTTAGATAATTTTTGGTAAGGAGAGAGATGTCCTCCTACTCCAGTGCCCATTCAAGTTGTACCCAGACCCTCTAGGAGAGGAATGAGTTCTTGGCTCACTTGGTTTTTGTCTTGATAACTAAAGGAACTGGAAGAGATGGCTACTAGGTGCTTTGGGGCCAGATAAATGCAGGTGCATGTTCCTGTCCAGTTTGATGGAAGACTGAAATAAGAGGTACTGCCACAGAGGAAGGAAAGTCACTGAGTCTTAAGACAGAAATTATTTTTAATGATAAACGTATGGGTGAGCGGATTGTTTTTATTTTCCCAGACAGATAAAGTCCCTGACAATGTAGCTCTGGGCATATGAGCTGAAAGGGCCCATGAGAAATGTCTGTAGTAGCTCCACTAGTTTTACTTTCCCAGTGTATAAAATTTTTTTGATATTTACAAACACTCATTTGGTCAAGTTTTTATAATCATGCACCCACAGACAGTCACTTGCTGTGGGCTGAGAGCAGTCTTCCCATGAGAATATAGAAACACAGTTAGAGGATCTTCCTTGGCAATATCCTGACACCCTATTTTTCAATCCTGATATGTCTGGAGATGGCTTTTATGAGAAGTACACCAGGTTTTTAAAGGATGTGGGTTGATTTGCCTGGATACCAGCATGGTCTAGTGAAGACTTTATCTTTAGGATTTGTTTGCAAAGAAAGTCTTTTAATGTGCTCAAATCTTGACTCTGGCCTTGGTCTTGAGTCCTTTTTTTTTGGTACTGGGGATTGAACTCAGGTTCTTGTGCTTGCAAAGCAGGAGGAAGGACCACTGAGCTAAATCCCTTGAGTCCTTTTTATATGTGGGGGCACCTGGAACTTAAGCAACATATGAATGGATATTGGGCCCCCAATGGGTAGTTTTGTGGAAGAAACTTGAATAAAATTACTTTGAGAGGATCTGAGGAGAGTAGCAGTCCTCTCCATTGAGGTTACCTTGGTGATTTCATTAACTTGAAAATCATATAGGCTGTCTAAGGACATTCACTGAAAGAGATATTTGGGGTGGTAGATCATCTTTCCAGTAGCCCAGAGTTGAGCTGGGATGGGCACAGCAGTATATTGGCTGGAAGATGGGGAAAGACACAGCCAGTAGTCCTTGGCCAAGTTGAGGTTACTAGAATTCAATAAGAGATGGGTCAGTGGTCGGGGACCTAGCTCAGTAGTGCCACCACCTATCTCGCAAGTGCAAGGTTCCAAGTTTGATTCCCCGTATCAAAAAAAAAAAAAAAAGAGAGAGAGAAAGATGGGTCAGATTCAAGGTTTTGTGTAGGTAATCACTGCTCATCTTCTCCCCCAGAGGCAATCCTTGAGCCACCAAAGAGGATCTGAGGCCAAAGAAGAACAAGAACAAACCAAGAGAGGTAATTTATAATTTGGCCTGAGTATCTCAAGGGTAAGTCATAGCAAGAAAGAGAAAACAGGCTTCAAAAAACTAGTTATGCACAGAGAAGCCCTGGATAGGCCTTTTTAAAAGGAGTAAACTTATCTGACTTAGAAGGTTAGTGGAATTTTTTTTAAAGGAAATTGAGGCCACTACTTTGCAGATGTATGAGGTTTGTGATCTCTCTTCTTCATTTTCTAGTGCTTTTCTGGGTTTTACCCTGGAGAGATGTCCAACTCCACCCATCTACTCCCTGTACCTTGATGGTAGAGGATGTGGTTAAGAGGGTTGTATAAAGGCCTTTCCGTTTGGGGGTGAGTTGGTCCTGGGGCCCACACTCTTTCCAGGTCATGATTAGAACCTGGTTACCAGGGTAGACCTTGAGTTGACAATTGTTATATCCTGGGAGTGAAGGAATCTTTTTTTTTTTTTGGACCAGGGATTGAACTTGGGACCTTGTGCTTGTGAGACAGTTGCTGGAACCACTGAGCTAAATCCTCAGCCCAGGGAATCTTGCTTTCATATTACTGAAGGCCCTGTTGTAAGATTCCCAAGTGGGTGACAAGTTGGAGGAGCTGGGAAGTCTTGGTGTCACTGAGCAGGTCAGATGTCAAGAAGGGTCTCCCAAAAAGTATCTCAGATGGGCAGAGATTAAGTTTGGATGTGGGGGCAGCTCAAAGCCTCATTAAGGCAGTTGGGAGGAGATCTAGCCACCTATGGTGGGTTTTTGGACACAGCTTGGCTAAGGTCTGCTTGAGGGTTTGGTTGGCTCATTTAACCTTTTCAGAGGACAGGGGTCTCACACAGCGGGAGATGGTACTTAATTCTCAGGGCCTTGGCAACTCCCTGTGTAATTTGGGATGTGAAGAAGGGCCCACTATCACTCTGGGTGGACCCAGGCAGTCCAAACCTAAGGATCACTTCCTTAAGAAGGACTTTTACCACCTCCAAGGCTCATCTGACCTGGTAACGAAAGCCTCTATTCAGCCAGTAAAAGTACTCTTACATGGAGGGATGTAGGTGAAATCTACTTCCAATCTCCCCAGTGGAGGTCCTTCACTGTTGCATTAGACAGTAGGGATGGGTGGATTTGTGGATTATGAAGGGCATAGACAGAACATGCTTTACAGATCTGAGTTACAATGTTATGGACTTCAGGCCCTATAAAGAGCCTATGTGCTATAGGGGCAGTAGGTGGAAGGCATTAGTGATTTTTTTTGGGGGGGGGGTTACTGGGGATAGAACTTGGGTCATTGCACTTGCAAAGCAGGTAGCGGAATCACTGAGCTAAATCTCTGGCCCTTTTAATGACTTTTTTAAAAGACAGAGTCTTACTATGTAGTTCAAGCTGTGTACACTGTTTAGCCTAGGCTGGCCTCAAACTCATGGCAATTCTTTTGCCTCAGGCTGACAAGATTACAAGCATGTGCCACCACACCTGGCTAGGATTTAATGACTTTTTACTGTGATTATTGTGTCAAGAACAGTCAGAGTCCCACATACCACCATTGACCCTTATTAAAAAAATTAATTAAGTTTATTGGTATAACTTTAAATATACATAATGATCATTTTCATCATATGGAATTTGTACTGTACATGATACATGTTTGGCCCTTTTGGACTCTTCCTTTATTATGAATCATTTGAGGATCTTCTGTTAAAGTAGCCTGGCTCCAGGGCTGGGAATTTAGCTCAGTGGTTTCGCAGCCTGCTGGGCAAGCTCAAGGACCCGAGTTTGATCTCCAGTATCTCCCCCAAAAAAGTAGCCTGGCTCCAAATCAAGATCTTGAAATGGGACCACGGAGAGTTATTGATGGCCTGGGGTTATTTTGGTGGGCAACTTGTTTGGCAGCCAAATCTACCTTTGAATTATTCCAGGAGACAGGGTCTAAGGAGGCTTGATGTCCCTGGAAATGGACAACTGCTACTTTGCTTGGAAGATTTACTGCCTCAAAGAAGTTGAGGCTCTTTCATCCATCTTTTATGGGTGACTGGTGATTAGTAAAATCCCCTTTTTTTCCAGATGGAAGCATGTGCATGTAAGATCAGAAAGGCATACTTGGAGTCTGTATCTGTCTGTCTCTCTATCTATCTATCTTCATTTATATATATATTTTGACCCTCTCGCCCTGGGCAAGTTGAAGAAAGAGCTCAAGTGAGGGCAATCATTTTACCTTTTGGATGGAGGCCCCAGAAGAGAGTCCTCTTGCTTCAATGACCTGAGTTATGCTGACAGTGGCTTACCTTGCCCTTCTAATACCATCCTTGGCAAAACTGTTACCATCAATGAACCATATGCTTGCTGTCCCTATCAATGGCTGGTCCCTCAGATTGAGGCAGCTGACATAATTCTGGGTGATGGTTTGTTCACACTCATGTTTTACTTGTTGGTTAGTTGGGAGGAGGGTAGCCAGGTTTAGAACTGTGCAAGACTGAGGAGTGATGTCTAGGTTTTTGATAAGGTGGCTTGGTATTTAATGAGCTATAGGGAACAGGGAAAGTGGACATTACTAAACCTCTACTCCTAGTCTCCTCTGAGCCATGACAGCATAAGGAGAATTAATTAATATAGACAGAAATGAGACTTAGAGATGAAGCTGAGCTTTGGGTCTGATCAATGCTGCTCTGGGCAGCAAAGATGAAAGACCTAGAGCTTGCCACACCTTTATTTGGTACACCTGGAGTAACAAATGCAACAAATGACTCAGAGGGCTGTAAGGGCCATAATCCTAGAATAGTGAGGAATTTATGTAGATGAAGATTTTGTTCCTCCCCAGGATGTTTTCAGCTGGTGCAATCCTGCCCTGGAGCATCACAGCATCACAACAACATTGAGGTTTTAGCTGTGACTGGAGGCAAAAATGGAGTTATGTTTTAAGATGCCATAGCTGGCCTCTAGGCAGGAAAGCTAGGCCTAATCATAATTTAATTATGAAATGAGTTTTCCCCAAATTATGTAGAATTGCTCCCAACAGTGAGCCTTTTTCCAATCATCCATAAATGACCTTTGAGCTCTAACAGGGCCTTAATTCAGTGTGGGTTTAGAACTGAGAGCTTTTGTCCCAATATTATCTTAGAGGCTCCCTGGACTAAGAATGCTGTAGCAGCTATTGCTTATAGGCAGCTGGCCCAACTTATAACACCACAGCTAGTCATTTGGGAAAGTAGGCCACCAGCTGAGTTTCTGGACACAGACATGGCGATAATATCCCAGTGGCTACTTCCTGCTTCTCAGCTATGAATTTAAAAAAAGGGGTTTCATTAGGTCTGAGGTTCCTAATGCTGGGACTTGTATCAGGGCCTGTTTTAGAGCCTGGAAGTATCTCTGAGTGACTGGGTTTCATTCCAAGGGCTTTTTTTTGGTCCCCTAGTTGCCTTATATAAAGGTTTGACTATTACTCCTAAATGGGGAATTCTATATGTGCCAGCCATTCCCAAGAAAGCCCTCAGTTGTTGTTTAAACTCCAGAGGACTCAGTTGGCAAACCGTCTGTTTTCCTTGAGGACATTTGTCTCTGTCCCCATGTTAAAACATTTGTCTCTGTCCCCACATCCCAGGCAGGTCACTTTTTGTTGAGAAACCTGGGCCTTATGTTGGGACACCTTGTAATCCCTCTTCACTAAAAGATTGAAAGTTATAGAGCTGGGTGTGGTGGTGCATGCCTGTAATCCCAGTACTTGGGAGGCTGAGGCAGGAGGATCACCTCAAGTTTGAGGGCAGCCTGGGCTACATAGTGAGTTCAGGGCCAGTCTGAACTACAAAGGGAGATCCTGCCTCAACAAAACAAAACAAAACAAAACAAAACAAAACAAAAAAAGATTAAAAGCTGTAATGGTGTTTTGATCAGATAACTCCTTGATAGGGCTGCAAATGAAGAGGTCACCTACATACTGTAATAGGCCTCCCTTTTTAAGTTTTAGGTCCCTAAGGTCTTGGGCCAAGGCTTATGCAAATAGGTAGGTGCTATCTATAAACTCCTGAGGCAAGACAGTTTATGTATACCATTGGTGGAGCCTAATTTGGGGATTTTCCAATTCAAAGGCAAAAATGTATTGGGAACTAAGGTCCATAGGAATAGAAAAGAAGGTGTCCTTGAGATCAAGGACAGAGAACCAATTAGCACCTCCTGGGATCTGTGCAGTGAGGGTGTATGGGTCTGCCACTAGGGGATGAGTAGACACCACTGCCTCAGTGATGTTTCTGAGATCCTGTACTAGAAGATAGTCTCCTAATGGCTTGATTATTGGTAAAATTGGTGTGTTGCATGGGGACTGGCATGGCACCAGTAACCCCATAGCCAAAAATTTATCAATAATGGGCTTTAGTCCCACCCTGACCTCTCTTTTGAGGGGATGTTGGCCTTTTGTGAGGGTATAGATTACTGAGGTGGCCTTGACAGCCTGCCCCAAGGTGTCATTGTACCATGCTTGAGGATCAACTCCTAGCAAGGGAATTGGGCCTAATGGGGCCAGGTTGGCCAGGTCAACTAGCATACAGGCAACTAGCATACAGGCAACTAGCATACAGGTTGCCAGAGGTTTGAGTGACAGAGTGTCCCTGAGCAGGAAGAGTATATCTATTCCAATTAATGGTGTGGGGCACTTTAGTATTACCTCAAAGGTCACTTGGAAAAGGAAATCTCACAATCAGCAATTCAGAGTAGGGGTAAAGAAAACTGACTAACCCCTTCAGGCCAACAAGAACTGAGGAACAGGAAGACAATTTGCCCCAATAAGAGATGAGAATTGAGTGATACAACACAGTATCTGGAATGTAATTTGTTTACTCATTATATCCAGAGTTACCTGAGGCTCCTGCAAAGTGATGGGGATGTCCTTGTGCAGGGGGACAAGGACACAGGCCACCTCAGGCACTCTCAGTCACTGTCTGGGCATTTTTCTCTAGCCACCACGGTGATAGATGGCCTCATCCACTTCTGGGAATTAGGGCACTTTCTCCTTCAGCACCAAGGGTCCTCATCTGTATTCTGACAGGCTTGGCAAGGACTCAGTGGCTTTTGAGGGCACACCTTTGCCAATGCCTCAGTTGTTTGCACTTGAATCACCCAGATTTGCCTCCATCACCCTTTGAGTTATCTGGGCTCCCCTTGTTGCCAAAGGCTCTATCAGGAGCCTTATCCATAAAAGCCAGCATGGCTTTAGTCTGCCTTTTCTCCTACACCACAGTTGTTAAAGACCATGCAAGCCACATCAACCAACTGACTTATCCCAGCTTGTGGGCTCTGTTGGAGTTTTTGGAGCTTCCTCCTAATGTCTGGACCCAACTGGCTAATAAAATAGTGGCCCAAGATAATTTGGCCCTCTCTAGACTCCAGGTTTAAATTAGTATATTTACAGAGTACCTCTTCAAGCCAGTATTGGAAAGCTGCTGGATTTTCATGACAGCCCTGACTGATAGTTTTGAACTTATAATTTAAAGGCTTGGGCATGCCCTTGTGGGTACCCGCTAAGATGGCCTGGAGGTTTGATCTCTGTTTGGTTTTTCTGCTCTCAGTGTTATAATCCTACCCAAGCCCTTCTTGGGGCCCAAATAATGTATCAGTTGACTGTCACTGGGTGAGGCTTCAATGACCTCATCATTGGCCTGTCTTACTACTATTATGATTCTCTTTCTCTTTTCATTGCTGTGCAACAAGAAACCAAGATGAACTGGACATTTTACCAGGTCAGATCAAAAGCCATTGTCAGGGTATGGATTTGTTAGCAAACTTTTCAGTGTCCTCAGAGAATTTACTCTCTGAATCACTGGATGTCTATGACTGAAAAAGGGACTTGAACTTGGATGGTACCCTCTGCACCTGCCACTTCTTCATGGGGTAGTATGGTGGCACTCTTAGATGTTGAGTTCCCTGAGTCTTATGGTAGACAGACCTGGATGTAGTATGGGGTGGGCTTGTCTTTATCTCCTAGGCCTAGGGGCACTGCTGGTGCAGGTTGGTAAAGAGGTTGCCTATCAGGAGGAGGGGCTAACAAGACGAAGTCCTCAGCAGTGTCAGTTCCCAAAGAGGGATTACTTCTATGACAGTCTTGGCAAAGATCAGGCTTTTGGTAGAGGGCCATGAAAGCTTGAACAAGGCACCTCCACCCATTTTCCCTATCTCTTTTTTAAAATAAGGTCTAATTGGAATATGGTGTTATACTTTAGGCAGCCATTCAGGGGCCACACCTCCCAAGGAGAAGAGAAGAAATATAAAATCTCCCCCAAAGGGGCCTTACTTCCTGGCTGGGTTGCCAAAATGTTACCATGGGTGGTGGGATCTGGGACAGGTTCCTAGGTTCTTGTGCTCATGTGATGAACAGAGAATTGGAAGCGGCATGCAACAGTAAGGAAAGAGCAGCAAAGTTTATTAAGGTGATTGTACACTTAGAGTGAGCAGGCTTGTGTGTTATAATTGGATGTTCGAGGTGTAGTTGATATGCATGAACCTTTAATGAGCTCCAGGTGAAGAAAGGTTACTGTAGGTCAGTGGTGCACAACCATCCTGGTTTGGAATTTTCTGGGGCAGGATTGGGAGTCTTTGCTTTTTTTTTTTTTTTTTAAATCTCTGCCTCCGTGTAGTAAGCCTCAGGACAAGGGACACATGGGTTGGGCCTGGGGCATTGCTCAGGTTCAGGTGAGTAGAGGGGAGTGGTCCAGCAAGGAGTGGAGGGGAGAATCCCAGTAGCCCTAAAATATAACACACACACACACACACACACATATATATATATATACACACATACACATATATATATATGTGTGTGTGTGTGTGTGTGTGTGTGTGTATGTATTTTTTTTTCTTTCCCTTTGGTATGGTGATTGAACTTGGGACCTTGCAATTTCGAGGCAGGCAGCAGCACCACTGAGCTAAATCCCCGGCCCTAACTATATTATCTATATCAAGGCCACTTACTTCGACCTTGCTCTTCCCCTCTGCCGGCCATTTCTGCCTCCTGGCCATACACTGCTCCTTGAATTCTATAGGAAGGAATTCTCCTGGGTATTCAAAGTTTACCCTTTCCCAGCCTTATGGCTACTTACTTCCAGGTCTTCTATGACCACACCCTGGACTTGGTCATAGCCCCCAGTAATGAACCCATGTCTACTCTCTGACTATGGCCTCTGTATCAGTCAGTGTTTACTGGAGAAACAGATATAATACAAGATATACAAGTATATAAGAATTTGGGGTGAGGATTTAGCTCAGCAGTGCCGTGCCTGCCTGGCAAGTGCAAGGTCCTGAGTTTGATTCCTGGTACTGAAAAAAACAAAAACAAAAACAAGAAAACAAGTATATAAGAATTTACAAGGGGGGCTGGGGATGTAGCTCAGTGGTTCCACCGCCTGCCTCGCAAGAGCAAGGACCTGAGTTCAATCCCCGGAACCAAAAAAAAAAAAGAATTTACAAAATTGCCTTACAGTGTCATCCACAGAATCAGATGAGGCAGAGTGCAGAGGGTCTGTCTGCACACTGGAGACCAAAGGATTCAGTTGAAGGTCTGGAGCTCATTGCAACGTCCCATTTGAGTCCCTATCAGGAGGCCCATGGGTCTGCAGTGGAAGGCTGAAAAGCCTACACTGGAAGGCTGAAAGATCTGCACTGGAAGCTGAAGAGTCTGCAATGGAAGCCAGGAGACGACGTCCAAGGTGAAGGTGAAGACCGGAGTCCTCTACAGAAACAGAAGCAGACCCATCCTTCTTCATTTCCCCTTAATACATCCAGGTGACAAGCACTCTAGGATGGGTCTTCCGCACCCTAAGTGGAGAATTGCTGAGCCAATTTAACTGAGCTTCTCTTACTCAAGCTGACACAGTCAGCCATCACAGCCTCCAAGCGCCGACTGCAGCCATCTTCTCCTGCTCCTCCTTGCCCTGCATGCCCGGCTCTGCCCTCTCCTGTCCCCTGTGCAGCTCTCACTTCTAGGCACCTACTTGCCCAATACACCTGTCTCTTTTACCCACAGCTGTACCTGAGGGTGGCCTGGAGACAGTGCCACTGACTCAAAGCCTGAAGCCACTGCAAAGTCATACTCTCCATCCCTCCAGCCCCCAGATTTCCTGGCGACCCTTCTGGGGAGAGGTATTTGTTATTTGTTCGCTTGTCCATCCATCCAGTCACATTTATAAGCACTTACCTGACTCCTCTGAATGAGGGGACCAAGGGAGCTGTCAGCTGTGGGAACACCTGGCCACAGGAATCCAGAAGGGAAATAGTGTGTGGGGAAAGAGGCTCCCCTGGAGCTGCAGGAAGAAGAAAGTGGGGTGCTGGATATTTTCTAGATCCTTTCAAGGACTTTCCAGGGGTTCTATTATGGACAGATAAGTTAGATAGAAATATTACAGGCAGTCAAATAGGATTAGGCCCTCAAGAGAGCCAGGACAAAGGTGAAACACAATACAACTGTGGCCAGAGATGTATCTGTTAGAGACCAGGCCTCAAGATAAAGACGAGATGACTAGGCCTATATACTTCCTAGACAAACACCGGGCCTAATGGTCTGGATAGACATCCGTCACCCCCAGTGGGTGACCAAAGACCTCTGGATCCATCATTTACTAGAAGAAGTCTTTGTTCTTTGCACACTTGTTACATGACTTGTTTCCCAATTGGATCACTAGTTTCTAAGTGACTATGCTTATAACTTTATTCATTATAGCTGAAATCCACATTGTACCCACGTGGGTTTTGCTCTATAAAACTTCCCTGTAAAGTGGAGTCCTCCGGCTACCCATTTGGGACCCCTCCTGCCTCTCGGGAGCTAGCCTCTCAATAAACATCTACTGTTCCTACTCTTAATGTCTGTTATTCCGAGAATTCATTCTTTGATTTTTAGAGATCATGAGCTTAAAGTATCAGATCTAACAGGTTGGGGGATATATTTTCATATTTTATCTCCTATATCATATCCTGTATCAGTTCCAGCCTCCTGGACTATGCTAGAGGTTTGGAGTGTCCACTGCCACAGGATGGGTGCCTCTTGGACCCAAGGAGCATGCTGGAGGCATGCTGGAGGCGCTAGACTCTCTGCAGGATGGTAGAATCAGCCCAGTAGTCCAAAACGGCCACACACTCAACCTCCTGGTAGCCTCCCCAAGCTCCCATTTTCAGAGGAGGAGGGATCCTGGGTGCAGGATGCTGAGCTGTGGAGGGAGATGCTGTCCAGCAGGTGCCACACAAATCCTGCCCTCTGAGGTGGGGTTGGGATGACCTGGCCACCACAGTCAGATGAGCTCCGGATGTGCATGGTTTCTCTAAGTAAGCTTTATATTAACTCTAGCAGCGCCGAGTGTTCCCATTTTATGGGTGAGGAGACTGAGGCATGGAGAAGAGCCCAGAAGTGACTAACCAGGGATTTGAATTCACATCTCACTTCAGGAGTCTGAGTCCTGGGCCACACGGACACTTGGGTTCGCTCACTAGCGGGGGGGGGGGGCAACAGGAGGGGAGGCGGGGCTGGGCGGAATGGGGCGGGACGGTCCCCAGCGTGGGAAGGAAGTGCCAGGCCCGCTGCAGGGGCGCCCGGCAACTAGAGTCTGAGTCTCCGTCAGGGTCTGGCCATGGAGGCGAAACCACCGCTCTACCCGGTGGCAGGGGCCGCAGGGCCGCAGGGCGACGAGGACGGGCTCGGGGTCCCTGACGGGCCCGAGGCCCCGGTGAGCGGGGACTGGGAGCGCACGAGGGTGGCGAGGGGCTGGGGTGACCCCGCTGGGCGCGGGGCTGGCGAGCCAGATGCGAGCGCATGCTGTCCCGCAGCTGGACGAGCTGGTGGGCGCGTACCCCAACTACAACGAGGAGGAGGAGGAGCGCCGCTACTACCGCCGCAAGCGCCTCATTGTGCTCAAGAACGTGCTGGCGGCCAGCGCGGGCGGCACGCTCACCTACGGCGTCTACCTGGGTACGCGCGAGCAGGGGGCGCGCGGCAAGGGCCCCTGGCTGTCCCCAGCCCTCCCGGACTCAGGGCGGGAAAGAGAAACTTGGGACCGGCCGCCCGCCCTCCTTCCCCTTTCACTTCCCTGTCGGCCGTCCTGGTAGCTGCGGCGGCCCCAAGTGAGTGTGTGTGTGTGTGTGTGTGTGTGTGTGTGTGTGTGTGTGTGTGTGGTTCTGCTGACCAGTGACCCACGTCCCAACCACCGTGTTCTTGTGGCGGGGTTGGGGCACGTCCTAGCCCCCACCCCGTCCTTACCCGCGTTGGAATGGGGAGCTCCCTGCAAGGCTTGCACTGACCCTCGGCTTGGTTGCCCCGACCTAGGCTGCTTCCTCCATATCGCTCCCTGTCCCCAGGCCTCCTGCAGATGCAGCTGATCCTGCACTACGATGAGACCTACCGTGAGGTGAAGTACGGCAACATGGGGCTGCCCGACATCGACAGCAAGATGCTGATGGGCATCAACGTGACGCCCATCGCTGCCCTGCTCTACACGCCTGTGCTCATCAGGTGCTGTCCCCATGTGAGGTGGGCTGTCCCCCTGATCTCGCAGGGTGCAGAGGCTGTTAGACCCTGAGGTCCTCAGCTGCCCTGGTGTTTGGGTGAGGGTGATTGTAAAAGCTAGGGTTTAGGGGAAGAAAAGAGAGAGAGAGAGAGAGC